GAAGTTAAATGGAGGAAACAAATAGTCAATTGAAAGGTTATATAATTTAAGTTACAATTTAATAGTAAAGTGTGGATTTCAAGTATGAGTTAAAGTATATGACTAAATGTGTTAGGTATTTGGTTTAATTAAAAATAAATATTATAATTAAAAAATAAATGCTAAATGGACCGATAAGGAGAAACCTTAAAAAATTCCCAAAGAATAATTTTATATTTTAATTTTTTTTAATATTCCTCTTAATTTAAGCTATTTAAGCTATATCTCTAGGTTTAATTATATTTTTCATCGTTGTAGTATATATAATAGATAGAAAATTGAATATCAAATTGTTTTTTGTATAGGAAGTCAAGTATAAAATTCAAAGTTAACAAAAATTATAATGTTTTTTATATTATTACATGTTGAATCACAAACTAAATATAAGGATCATTATTCTTAAAAGAATGTCTTACAAATTGGTTTGATAATTATATAACAAAAAGTTTATTTTGTTAAAAAAATTACATACTTTTGAAATTAAAATAAATTTACATGAATATGTGAGAAAGAAACAAACATCCAATGTAAAATAATGAAGATGGTTTCTTTAGCTTGATTTTCTTATAACCATAAAATATTATTATACATATGTATTACATTTAAAAATATAAAAAACAATGAAGACATAAAGAAATACATAAAAACAAAAAATAAATAAAATTGAAAACAAAAGTTTAAACTAAATAATTAATCAAACTCTTACAATGATATTTTAAATGAGTTTTCACCCGATGCAAGAACTTTAAAAAAAAAACAAAGAGAATAATGAAGATATGAGATATGGTAGAGAACGATGTGAGAATAGCTATTTATAACAAGAAGTGATGTAAGTTACATTTTTCAAATAATTAAATTAGAGGAGTTATAATTATAATTTATATTATGTTTAATTAGAATTCAATAAAGAAAACCAATAGTCTTTGGAAATTTATATAATTTTCAGTTTCATTTTATTAGTAAAGTGTGAATTTAAAG